TGCCCCCCATCCCCAGCACAAACCATGGGTCCTCCCCGCCTGGCCTCAATGCACAGAGGCAGCCTCACACGGGCTGGGGGTCCCCACAGCAGCTCCCATCCCACCTGTGCCCCACGCTTGTGCCCAGGACAGGGTTCCTGTGTGTGACACCGGGCTCCCCTACCCCAAGGTGGCATCCCTGCCCCAATACACACCATACAGCTGGCTCCAGGCAGCGGCAAGTGGTACCTCCACGCCGTCCTCCCCTGTCGGGCTGGCGGTGGCCATGCCCCGCGGCGTTGGGGCCGTGTCCAGCGTCTCGTTGCAGTGTGGCGTTCGCAGGGTGCCAGCAGCCAGCCCAGCCAGCAGTGAGAGGATGGCAAGGAGCCCCCACAGCATCCCCTCCTGCGACAAAGCACAGCACAGCGGGGTGAGCCCTGGCCAGGGTCCCCACACCAGGGACGAGGCTCCATGAGCTGGGGATGGGGACAGGGATGTGTCTTCCCGGCCATGGAAGCCAGTCAGGCCTGGACTCACCTTGGGCTGCGGGTGCGTGCTGGGTCCTGCAGGTCTCGGCTCTGGTGGCCCTGCTCGCTGCTCCATGCTGGCTGCAAGTGCAGAGGTGAGGGTCAGTGCCCATGCAGAGGGGAGGAGGTTGACACCGAGCTGGGAGCTGGAACTCCTCTCCCCTGTCCCTGCCAAGTATGTCAGCCCCTGCCAAGCATGTCATTCCCTCCCTCCCCAGCACCCTAAAACACCTCCTGCACCCCATGCACGACTGGCTTCTGTACCCTCCCCACGCAGCCAGGCACTCTCGCCACCCTGCGCACCCCTTCCCGGAGATTTGGCAGCTGGTGTGGCCCAGCCTTCGCCCAGCATCAATCCTCAGGGGGACGCAGTCGCTTCCTTGTGCGAGCGGCCTGGGATGCCAGGCTGGGCCGTGAGGCAGCGGCTGGGGCTGGGAGCGCCACGGGGGGGTCCCTTTCCCATGGCCCTTCCCTGGGAATGTTTTTCTTGCTCATGGTGGGAGCCTGACCTTGGAAACTCCAAATCCATTAGCACAGGATCCTCGGGTGCAGCCACCCCCTGGCCTTGTGCTGGCTCCCCATGCCACTGCCTGCGCCAAGTGGGGACACGCAGCCCCAGAGCAGCCCGGGCAAGTGGGGTCCCGAGGGACAGGAAGGCCAGGCAGGTCCCATGGGGACATGGTTGGGTGCAGGGCACCATTCTGGGCACACTGTACCTCATTCACCCCAACACCACGGCCCAGAATCTGCTGCCCTGACATGCACAGGGGAATTCGGCCCCTGCCATGGTCCCAGTGGAGCAGCAAGCGTGGTGTCAGGAGAGCGGTGTCCCCTGGGAGGTGCAGGGGCAGCTCTCAGTCTGCAGCCACATGTTGCACCTCCTTCCTCAGTTTCCCTGGGGTGCGAGAAGGCCCCTGTGCCCCAGTGTCCCAAGCCAGGATATCCTAGAGGTGGCTCCCAAGGAGGCTTTAACCCTCCTTGGCCCATCTGCTGTAGAATGGGGCTGTCTCTCAGAATGGGGCTGTCCCCTTGGAGCTCAGTGGCATCCTGTATAGGGACATTCCCTGTCCCCTCCATGGCTTTGCCCCAGCATGTCCCAGGTGCTTCCATAGCAAAGCTGGGATGGGACGTGCTCAGGAAAGTGCTCCTGGACAAAATTTAAAGAGACACGGATGGGCACCACTGGGACAAAGAGACAAAATCAGTTTCCCTAGTCCTTCCAGCATCTCAAGGGATGATCCCCAAGTCCCGATTGCCGCATCTGATGCCACCCTGCACTGGCCATGCCGTAACAAGGGGCTGTGATGGACACTGCCAGGTCCATGTGCCTCCTCCGGGGGTCGTGCACCGGGAAGAACGCGTCCCCGGTGCAGGCAGGGCTGGCACTGGCCTT